GGAGGTGACAAATGAAAATACGTCTCTCAACTGTGAACTGGACCACGCTAGGAAAAAACTAAAAGAACAAGAGGAGGAGACAGCGAGACTGTGGGTGGAGCAGGATGAATTAGAGCAGTACAGCAGGAAAAGCTCGCTCGAGATTCATGGTTTACCAGAAAATGTTTATTCGTCGACCAAAGAAGCAGTCTTGGAGATAGCAAAGGCGCTGAATGTTGAGATGACACCTAACGATATCCATATTTTGCATAAACTCAAACGCAAAGGAAAAACGTTCATTATTGTCAAGTTCAGCGGTCACAAGATCAAAGCGAAGCTGCACAAAGAAAGAACAAAATTAAAGAACATCAACATAGCAAGCATCTTTCCTAGCTTCAGTAACACTGCCTCAGCCGGTCAAGCTCGCATTTTCATCAATGAGAATCTGACAGCATATCGACGTAGCCTTGTTGGTAAAGCAAGCAATATGCGGGAAGACGGCACCATTTGCAGTCTCTGGACAAGAGATGGAAAAGTGTTTGTAAAAACCTTGCCGGATGGAGCGCCAATCAGAATTGTCACAAAGGATGACCTGGACAATCTCTAACTTTAAACTGCACACGTATTGAACTACAAGTAAGGTACAGTTTTCTTGAAACTGCCAAATTCTAATATAGTTGCTGTTCACTTGGTCATGCAATTGACAGAAACAGGTGAAAAGACAACCTACTACCCAATAGTACCTGCATATGCAACAACTATTTGGAAAATTCAAGGGCAAACTTTGAGAAAAGTTGTAATCAGGTTAGATTGTCCATATGTTCCACAGGGAACGTCATATGTTGTGTTATCAAAACTTCGAAAATTAGAAGATCTGTCTTTCATGGTATATGGTAATCCCAATCAGTTTTTGCTTTTGCTGTCACCATGCTAAGAGAATAAATTTGTTTGCAGACAATGGCTCATGAAGTCAAGTCCCCTGCTAAGGCTTACGGTGTACAATTGTACAAACAGTTACCTAAACAATGTTGAGACCATATGGGGAACTCAAAGTCCCTCAAACTGATGGGGAAATTTTACAGACGGTAAAGCCAATAAACTGTGAATACCTCGGGAGGCCAATAATAGGGCTAAGTGAAACTGAGGAATCATATAGCGAGAACCATGAGAGAGCCATGGACTTGCTAAGGGAATGGGACCTAGATACCATTTCCAGTAGGTTACAAGAATACGGTGACACCATAAAAATGTTGAACACTCGAACAGAGTTACCATTTTCCAAACAAGACATCATAAAGGCAGTGAAATACCATGCAACTGATGACAACAAACTTTTAACGTTACTGGATGATCTTGAAATCATTGGTAATACATTCTTCACGATGGCAATGCACTTCAAAACGCTGAGGGCATTAATTTGCAATCCGCTGATTTATGCCCAGCAAATTGCAATGGCGAATGGCATGGATATGGAATTGAAAAAAGACCTTTGTGTAAAGAACATAAGAGATTTGTTCATTAAAGAGGTAGTTACCGTCCAAAAACCAAAATTACCATCACGATCCAATCGAAATCAGACTAAAATACTAGATGAGCTGACTAAGAGCAGCAGTTTATCTGCTTCAGAACATAGCAACAACTCTTAACTGCCAAGACCACACTATGTGCTGAAGATGCCTGAGAAGGTCAGTTCTTCCAAGAAAAAGACACATAAAAAGAAAACACCAAACAAAGAAAAAGGTGAATCTTTTAAGACTGGGGAGGCCAACAAGTGGTCTGGGAGCAAAGAGATCACTATGGGAGGAGAGTACTCCTCCGAAGGCATCTTGCCTTTGTGCTGGAGAGTTTCTTCTATGCTGCACATAAAAACGTTAGCCAATAAGGGTCTGAGCAGGGAGCCCATGGCGACACCATCTGTCTGTTTGTAAAGTTTCCAGTCAGGATAATTACCTGTCAAAACCTCAAATTTACCAGACAATTGTCCGATTACCAACTGTTACTTGCAGGCTTGGGTCAGGATAAAAAAACTTACTTAACTCAATACAAAATAAATTTTCAGATACTTTAGTTTTGCCACATTTGATGTTCTTGTTGTACTGCCGTGAAAAACATTTCTGTTATGGATAAAAAGAGGCAAGCATTACTAATGGCAGACTCACTCACTCTCTTCTCAGAATGACCACGAAATTTGCAACATTCTTCTTATGTAAATGAGAGACTTCTGACCACACCTAACCAGGGAAGGAAGCGGGGATTTTCTGCTTACAGACAAAGAGGCAAGCATTACTAATGGCAAACTCACTCACACTCTTCTCAGAATGACCACAAACTTGGCCACATTCTTCGTATGTACATGAGAGACTACCAATCACACCTAACCAGGGAAGGAAGTGGGGATTTTCTGCTTTTGGTAAGTTTACTGTTGCAGGACTGAGGAGGGATAAATTTTTTCAGCCTGGGCTGAACAAATGCCTGTCTTCATTCTTAATTGGTCCCATTAAGCTTTGCCCTCACCCTAATCCTGGAGGTAAGGCAAGTGAATTTCTTGGCATACTGTCCTAACAAAAACCTTACAGTTCTGAAAGTAGACTTGTCCATCCCTGAAACAAGTGTTAAAGACCTTTTCCTCTCTCAGAAGAATTCTC